AAATTTTCCAAAAATATGCTTTGTAGTCTGTTGGTCCTCTCGAAATCCCATCTAATGACCACTGTAAGTGTTGTAAGAACGAGGAGAAGCCGCTTAAGCAAATTTACAAAACAAATCTCATTTCTCATTTTTATTTTATTTACATTTTCTGGATATAACCAAAATCAAGAAATGCAACAATTTAAGTCCAAAAACCACTAAAAAAGAAATCGTATTAGAGAAAAAAGCTAAAAATCTTTTTTATTAAATTGTTGCAGTGGTCCAGATGTTGGACGGAAACAATGTAAAGTTGCCATAAAATAGTGAAACAAAGGCGATGATTTCGGTTTCCATAGTTCCCCTCGTACAACCCCGTCATTGGTCATAACCGAAATAAATGTTAGGATTCATAAACTCCACAGTCCCGAAAAAAAAGGAGACGGAACTGCTTACCTCCTGTACATAGTTATATTATTCCAGACTATGTGCTTTCATGTTATTTCATTTTTTTTGTTACTCCGGTCGGTTACTGCAGATTTTGGTTAGAGCGAAATTTGACCATAGAAACAAACCCAAACCCCCCTTCCCTAGGAGAATTGTTGTACATTTAACTTTTTGCTTGGGGTTGAGTGATTTGCCGGTATCTGGGCTACTATCACAATGAACTATGGGTGTGTGTGTGTGTTTGTATGTTTCTATTTGTTGATGCTAGCTAGCAATGGCAACAGAAACAAAAAATCTCTTGCTGCTTTGAACAATTGCTAGAGAAGTAGTAGAAAATAAATTGCCGTTACAAAAACTATTATTTGTGACAAAGGAAACCTAACTACACTAGCTCTCCAAGTATTTATTTGTGGGTGAGTCTATGTTTGTTCGCATTTACCAAGGTATTTCTGTGTGTGTATGTGTGTGTTGAAATAAATGTCCATGCTATTTTGGGGGGAAAGAAAGCTGTTGGTCCAGCACAAGCGATATGATGACTTATTTTTGAAAAGAGCCATTCTTCTCTTTTTTTTTAACAAAAAATGACACCCACACCTACACACCACAAACATAGATTTATTGTGTGTATACACACATATCTCTGTTTGGGTGAGTGTGAGTGCATTCCTTTTCTATAAAAAGAACAAAGATACTTAAAATGACAAGTCCTCAGAAAATGGGAAATTCGAACAACCAGAGAAAAGGCAACCAATTGTTAATGACACTTCCGAAAAAAAGGGGTATACGGAACACCAGTTCGGGACCAAGTCGTTTGACACAGACTCACAAAATTCATAAATAACTTTTCTATGAGCAACAGCAGCAACAACAACAACCATCACCAACAAAACAGAACTGAATGTAACGAATATGAGACACAATAAAAAAAAAAAAAAAACTGTAGATAAATAAATGACTAAAATGGCGCAGTAGGGTATAGTGTGTCCTGATTTTCAACAAAAGTTGGATGAAAGGGAAAACTTTTGTTCTCTCTTCTCTTCTTTTCGTTCGTTTTTTTTTTTTTTTTTTTTTGACTTCATAAAATTGCTAATAGTAGTAGTTTTGCAAAAAAAAAAAACAGATCACAAAGAGCTGAAAATAATTTCATGTATTTAATAGAAAGAAGAAACTTGGTAGAAAAGAAAAACTTTTCGAAATTAAAGCTGAAATAATGAGTGCAGGTACCATTTAACTGGTATTAAAGGAATGGTAGACAAATTTTGAGAATAAAGTTGAGAACAGTCACCATAGAATACGGGAATCTACAACACCAAGTGACATAAAATTATTTTGAGAAAAATAATACTTATCTACAGAGAATGGATTTTTGGCGATGTGTTCTTGCTATAGATGTTTCGATCTAAAAAACATTTTATAAATTAAAATATTTATCATTGCTTTAAGCCAATTTTCGGGATTAAAAAGTGTGGAATACAGCAGCGGAGTAATTTTTTTCATAGCGTTCACAAGAACCACTAAACAGGTTTTTTGGTTCAAGATTTTTGTTTGAACCTGTTAAAATTTTCATTTTTGGCCCCCAAAGTTCACCATTCGACATATAAGTGCAAAATTTTTGTACTAAAAAGTACCAAATTTTTGTAGAAATCTTTCTCCAAAAATATTTCTAATGAAAATATATAGTTTTTTAATATCCCACGTTCTCGAAATATCATTCATTTCTAGACTTATTTTGGTACTTTTGTCATCTGATCATCCAATACAGCTGCTACAGAATATAGTACCTTTACTAATTTTTGTACAAAAATAACATGACGTTCACGTGTCAAGTGTGTCATAGCCAAAATATGTAGATCAATAGAATCAAGCCGCTGATTTAAATTCGTGAATGTCAGTCCAAATTTAGATATAGCTCCCATAAATATTTTCTTCCAATTTAAATTTTATTGGGCGCCATACTTGTATTATTCGTACAAATAGGCTGTATTACGGAACATCCGACCAAACCTTAAAGCGAGAAATTTTAATTTGGTGAAAATCGGTCCAGATATTCCTATATCTCCCATCGAATTTCGTGTTTCATTCCCTGAATTTCGTAATACGCATTCCAAAAAATGATATTCGGTACCAGATATCTCATACTGCTCCCAAATATCTGTGCTAAATTTCATCGAGATCGGCTCAGATGTCGGTATAGCATTTATATATATCTTTACCCAAAATCACGGTTATTGTGCACCAAATGTAAAACATCAATCCAAGTGGACTGGATTATTACACATCGGTCTGAATTGAAAATCGGTCCAGATATAGCTCCCATACAGGGTGAGATAAAAAACTACAACATAGTCAAACGCCATAATTTTTAGATTTTTTTTTTTTTAATTTTATTGAATGAAAGCATAAAATGCGCTTGCTTAAGGTGGTCAACACTTTGGCAACCTTGCTTTCCAAATTACTCCAGACAAAATAGTCCAACGGTTTGATATCTGGAGATTTTGGTGGTTATTGTGCGCTGGAAATGAAGCTAGGAATTAGGTGGCCCGTGCTGAGTGCGATCGTGCTGAGTCCTGTTGGAATGTCCAAGGTCTGCGATCAAAATGTTTGCGTGCCCAAGGCTTTAATACACCCTCCACACATTTATTCTGGCGGCCCACACCATCACCATGGCCGTCGCTTGAGTTCTGGTGGACAACCGAAGGTGAACATTTTCATCTGATCTTTTTGGCAAGTAAAAACGATCATTTAGTTTGTTTACAAACTGCTGGACAACGAATGTTTTCTCTTCGGAGAAAACTAAATTCGACAGTTCACCACTTTCGGCAAAGCGAAGCAACTCTGTAGCTTTTTTGAGTCTATTTTCTTTCTGTTGCGGTGTAAGATCTTGCACTTTTTTGAATTTCAATGGCTTTATTCCGAGCTCATTTTTCAATACTTCCGAATGGAAAATTGCGATATGTACAGCTCAACAGCCATTTTTCGGCCACTGCGGCGCGGGCTTCGATCAAGTCGCTTCTTTACTTTTCGAACCATTTCTGCTGATGTTATTGTTTTCTTCCGTCCACTTCCTTGACCGTAACTTTTGTCGTGTCCCGAAATTCCTATTAAATTTTTCAAGGATTAAGCCTCCTACCAATATTTGTGGCCCAATTTAAAGAAAAAAAAATATGTATTGTATTAGTATAATTTGTGTAACCTTTTGTAATACTTACTTTTTACTATATGTTAATACCAATTTTTAATAATCTGCCTAATAATCGCCTACGGCCAAATAGGTGTTTACACTATTAAGATTTTGACTTTAGCCGACTTACTCATTAGCAATCCTTAATTTTTTTTTTTTTTTTATTAAAGCGAAAAATCATCAAATCTACTTCTCTGGTCGATTTTATAAAACTCTATTTTGATTCCTATTTCATGCTAAATTCCGTCATTACCTATGAATTAATGAGTCGAAATATACATTAAGCGGTGAGTCTAGTGTCTGTATTTGAATGTCTTATTCACTTCATGTTCAAATTTCTTATAATACTCTCCCACATAGTTCGAGTTTATGTGGAAATATTAAACGGATTCAATGGGTTCTTTGATACCCAGAATATTTAAATTGTACCATTTCAAGACGTTTGATTGGCGTGATACTTCGAATTAACAGCTAATGCCAGTTGTACAGGCCCCTACATCAACAGTTTTACTTTAAACAATTGTTCCATTTCTTTTTAATTATTTTGGCAGCAATTGTTCAGCTCACCCCTCTCCTGCAAATTTTTGATCCCAAATCCACAAAAACACATGCAGTTTCCAATCCATAATTACAAGCGTCTAATGTAAAATTGTATTACCCTAGAGAAAAATCCCAAGTGTTTTCCATCTACACTAATCTAGTATTCTCTATTGGCAAATGGTTCTGCCATAACATAAAACAGCAAATTTATTCCCCAACATATTCTAAAGTAGAAAACGACAACTGTTAACATTGTATCCAATTGGAACGTATAAAACTTTGAGAAAATGAAATGACCGAGAAATTGATGTAATCAGTTTTATATTCATCCGCATAATAAAATTACAACATAAAATGCTTTCATTTCGGATTTCCTTTTTGATTTCAATGTTCTTCACAAATTAGTATTGTTTGGCTGAAGGTTTAGGAAGCGAAAAGGAGATTTTTGATTTTCCGCAAATACACCGCAATACAATGGCAGCAACAGCAGCAACATCACTAAAAATCCCTTTTTCCATTTTCGGTTTACTTTATTATTTTGCCTTTTTATGTAACGTACATTACATGTCCTCCAACACTTGTGGTCCCTTGCTGCCACTCGATAGCTCGTCGATATCATTCAATTATGTTCAAATTTATTCATTTCATTTTGTATACCCCAGCAATCACCTTTCGCCATAATTCCTCTTACAACACCCCCATCCCCTTCAACGCCATATGTATAATTTTTTGTCACATTGACTTTTACATTTCATTTTCCATTTCTTATTATTTTTTTTTTTTTCGCTTTTGCTTTGTGCACTTTTAATCATTCACTTTTATGCGTACCCAATTCCATTTTATTTCGTAATTCCAGATATGATTTACTGGCTGGCGTCACACGTGCAGAGGCATTCTTCTCCTTCAACTCCGGCGATGTTCAGTACGGCATCGAGGCTGACAGACGTTCGAAAATCTTAAAGGCCTACGTGCGCAACACCTACACGTACCATCTGAATGAAATTTTTGCCACCATCGTTAATGAGTACACCGATTGGGAGAGGCCCGTTCAGCATCCAATTAATATCAGGTAAATTCCATATAAAACTGAAAACCAAAGAAAAACAAAACAAGAAAAGTGAAAAACTGGTAAAGAAAAAAGGGGTAGAGAATAATATATCTGCAAGTAAACTAAGAGTCCCTGTCGAATGGTGTAAAGCATTCGCCCCCACAGACGATGAAGACCCTCCGAAAATGTATACAATTTATTTGCATTTGACCAAAATGAATGACCAAAAAATACGACGTACGTACCATGCTGCACATGAAAACAATTTTCAATTAAATGTAGCTCTGTCTTAATAAAGAATTTGCACCATGGATTGTGATGTGGTAAACTGAAAGAAAAATAATAAACAAATAAAAACCTACAATTGTAGAACTCCAGGGGCTGGATTTAAATAAAAATATGAAATTAGTAATTTTTATGGAGGTTGTGACAGCTTAAAGTTTTCTCAGGGATGATAAATTAGCTGAAATGATAAACTAAAATCGAAATGTGCCGGTATGTTCAGTACCTTTTCAGGAACAGCATCCAAAATTTAATATTACATTTACATGCGGCTTCACTACTATCAAATCCAATTGGAATTTTCCTTAATCCAAACAGGCTATCGACAGATAAATTATAAGACAATTTGCTTTCAATTCGAAAAAAGTTCTACATTTTTCGGATTTTTAGCACACATCAATGGTACTTTTCTACCCTCAGCCATATGGCTAGAAAGGGTATATATAATTTGAGGGTATCCGATCGAATTCGGATATGGGCAATATCGGTCCATTTCTTCTCCAGAAATTTTCAAAAAAAATACTTTACTGCACAGAAAGAGAAAGGATAGTCCGAATTTACTAAACTTTGCGAATCGTAAAATTTTCATCAGTGCTAGGTCAGGTGCGAAAATAAACAATATCAGTCCACTTCATCAAGTACCTCCCCCACAAAGACTTAAACTTTTGAGCAAAAAGTTATGTAAAATGTGATGTAAGAGTCCGATTGTCTTCAAATTAAACACATCCCAATATTTCTTAACACAAGGTATGGTGTTAAGGTGGAATATATTGTCCACTCCTTCTGGTACCTCCCCCACAGGGTCAACATTTCGAATATCAGTGAAGCTCATAAAACGTGAAATTAACATCCGATTCCATCCACACTTAGTACGTCCCAATAGTTCTCTCAACACAATATCTGTTATAAAAATGGTAGAGATCGGACCATTTCTTCTGAAACCTCTCCCACATAGGGATCAAGATTAAAAAAAAAAACAAAACGCTTGAAAAAATCGAAATTAGCATCCAAATCTCTTCAAATTTCACACATACCAACATTTTTGCTAACACATTGTCTATTGTGAAGATGATATACATCTGCAGACCACATCTGGTACCTCACGCACCAAGGGTCAAAATACTTAATAATTTTACCTGCCATGACTTGCGGAACTACTCAGCGATTCTTTAGAACTTGCCAGATTTAAATAATTATCTCAACAAGTAACCTGGAATGAATATGGAAGTTATGATTTCGCATAAAATTGAATACAAATGTTAGATTTTTCAATTTCCATTATTTTTATTATGGAATACCTCGATCTACTAAATTTGGTACCTCAGGCACATTTTAAAATTTTCTAAAAATTATCACATATTTCATACAAAGTGCAGGAAGTAGCCAATATAGTCAAAACCTGGCTTGTCGCAATATTTATATTATATTTATTTAGGTCCGACACGTCATGGACAATAATGGCCCATTCCTTCCAAAGAAATCTACAATTTTTATAATCATAACGGGAGTCAAAAATATATTTAAATAATTGAACATTGGCTGTATTCATCTGTCGGCAAAACCGACTGATACTTCTTAGCCTGATTTTGTTCCTCAGTTAAATACAAACTCATACTACAGACATAAGGGAGCTGAAGGGGCCGTAACGAAAAATGGTGTCCAATGGTTGAGCTTTGACCACTTAATGCTGATAAATATGTATTTATGTAACAAAATGTTACTCTACTCCAGCAGGGGTCGAATTGGAATTCAATCATCCAAAAGGGAGAATAGTTAAAGAAGAGAATAACCTATCTTATACCTATCCTATAATTTTGGGACCAACATAGATTTTAAGCCTTAAAACTAGCGAAATGAAGGACAGCATTTACAGCCTATATCCACCCAGAAATCTATTCAGTTTACAGGTTCATTTACTTGGATTTTGGATAACATTAGTTCCTGATAGATCCCATAGTCTTCCCTCTGCAGTTGCCATTATTTGTAAAAATATAAATATATATATATATATATATATATATATATATATATATATATATATATATATATATATATATATTTTTTTTTTTTTTTTTTTTTCAAAATGTATCCACTTCTTCCCATTGTGCATACATTGAATGGGTTTTTTTGATATAAATTCAATTGAATTGTCGACACGTCCACATGTATTCGATTACCCATTACTTTGGTAGGACAATTCGGTTTGTTTTTTCCTTTTCTGTGTACATTCGCTGTGCTTTTTGAATTATGAACGAAACCTGACCGTGGACCATACAAACAATAATTCAGCTCACATTCAGCAAACGCAGACGTGGATTGGTGGTCGCGATGACGAAGGCAAACAGAACAATGATTTAAATTTCAAATTAAAATCGTATTTAAATGTTAATACATACACGCATCCATTCATTCATTCATACATACATACCTCCATCCATCATTTTTTTTTGTATTCCCCATAAAAAACAACATCTTTGATTTGCATATACATATCTATATATGTATGTAGGTATGTGTATTCTAAGAATACAAAATAATCAAGAAAGCAAATGTTTTTATGGCCTTAGGTAATGTGTGCAGTGCTGAGTCGGAAAGAAAAAAATTCAGAAGAAAAAAAATTGCCACAGAAAATAATTGGATTTCTTTTGCGTTTTTCGCGTTCATTCCCTTACCACATGTCACAACAAGTGGAAAATAATGATGTATACAATTTTGGTTTACACGATTTTAAAATCTGTTTCAACAGACATGACATTGAAATTTTTATTGAGGATATCCTGGTAGTCGCTGACACGTAACACAGAATGTCTGTTGCTCTGGCGACGAATGAGAATACAAACAAAAGTTTAATTTTGACAAATTTTAGGTTTACCTTAAACTTTTCACATTACATGGAATTTTGTATTATCCGCCTTAAACTGTATTGAGTATTTGAGTGATATTCTGAATAAAAATAAATGAAATATTTTATTTAAGTCAGCAAAATTCTGCTAAGATTTCCTTTCCCTTTTTTGAAGGAGAATAATGAAGATGGAAGTAAAATATCCCCTAAGCCACCCAAAATCCTTAATTTGTTCGAATAAATTACAACTACAAATGACAAGCTTCCCACACAACAGCAGCAACAACAACAACAGCAACAAAAAGCTGTCCACCATAATACATTTATTATAAGCCAGGAATATATATTTTTTTATCATAATGAGAATAACCCATAAAAATATCATACCAGCAACTAGCTGGGACTGAAACACCCCTTAAGCGTTTTATCCTTGGCATCTCCATGTTTACCCCTCAAATGACATATGACTCTGAAAAAAAAACCAAAAATGTACACCAAAACATTTGTCAAATGACAAGAAAAGCAGAAAACTGTCAAATATAACCCAACAGGAAAAATGAAACGAAAAAATCCCAAAAAAAATCTCTTGACCTTTTTCCCCTCACCCCAAACCAAGGATGACAATAAAGACCTTGGGAAATATTTCCTTTTTACCTTTCCTTTTATATTTTGATTGATTTGCAAAGTATTCAAATCCTTGGCTTTTTATGGATGCCTACATACATACATAAATTCATGAATGCTGTAAATTTATTCTGTGGAATTTAAAGGCCATTGAATAGTGTAGATTGGGTTTTTCCTCGAACTAAACAATCTATTTAATTTGGAAACAACTTGGCACTATATTGAATATGGAAATATGGATCAGCATATGGATTCTGAATAGATGTATTCATAAAAACGTGCAACTACGGATGGTATAAAGCATTTAATATTGCCAAAATGTGTCTCATGAACCCTTATGTCTATAGGCACAAGATGAATTTCAAGATATTCGGAATTGATCTATCTATCTACCATACAACATTCCACTCTCCAAAGCGTCCACCCCTCAAGCCATCCCTTTATCTGGCTGGTAAGCACGAGAAATTTTGAAGGGTGCATATGATTTGATTTAAAGTTGGTATGAAATCTTCTCCTATCAAACATAGTACTAATTCCAAGAGTCCCCTTCTGGCAACTCCCATGCAAATGGAGAGCAAACGGGGCAAGGGTTAATTCGTGTTTTGTGAAATTTTGAAATGACAAATTGTATTTAGGAAAAAGAAGTACAAGTTTTATAAAGAAAATATTTTCCATTCCATGGTATAAGAACCAGGGCCCAGGGGTGTAATTTACATACAGGATGAGATGAAAAAACTGCAACCAACTTCAGACTGCTGTCATTTCCAAGCCACTCGTCAAACAGCTGTTAAAATTATTCCAGTGACAGCTCATTATATTGATTACAAGCGTAAAAAAGCGTTTTGGTGAGAATTTTCCAGAAAAAAAATTATGTGTGATGGAATTCGAGCGCGATAGTGTGATTTCTGTATATTTGGCTGGAAAACCACAAGTGACTATCCTTTGAGCACTCCAGCATTTCAATGTGAATAAATTTTTGTGTCTCGTACCATCGCTCGTTGCCGTAATACAGGTAGCGTAGCCCGACGTCAAGGAAGTGGAAGGGAAGAAAACAGCAACATCAGTAGAAATGGTTCGAAAAGTAAAGAAGCGATTTGATCGAAACCCGCGTTGCAGTGGCCGAAAAATGGATCGTGAGCTGAACATATCGAAATATTCCATAATTAATTGCCATAAAAATTCCTAAAAGTGAAAAGAACTTACATCGCAACAGAAAGAAATTAGGCTCAAAAGAGCTAGAGAGTTGCTTCGCTTGGCCGAAAGTGGTGAACTG